CCACTAGGGCAAGGTTTTTGAACTTTCTATGCTTCAGTTTTCTCAGCTTTAGATTGAGAGTAATAGTAATGCTTACTTCATAATGGTTTTTTGAAAGGTAAATGAGTAAATACATATAAAATTCTTAGATTATTGCTTGACACTTAATGTTAGTTGATGTTGGAAGTAGGGAACGCCTGTTGAGGGCTATGGAACTTTTTCATCTCTAACGTACCGTGGAAATACCTACTAATTCAATATAGTTTACTGAACATATGTTGCATTTTTCCGATCTTCCACCCCAAATTCCTAGAAGTGATAGAAAATTGACCAAAAAAAATGGCTGATGGAATAAGGGTGAAGAGTGTAAGAACAGGGAACTATGTTCAGTGTCTTGTATAACCTATAATGAAAAAGAACATGAAAACGAATATAGGTATGCGTATGTGTGACTGAACTGTTATGCTGAACACCAGAAATTGACACATTGTGAACTGACTATACTTCAATAAAAAAAAAAGTACAAGAATAAACATCTTGGAAATTTTAAATTTGGTTACTAATGCAAAAATTCAACAGTAGGACTAAGTCCAGAATAGAATCAGTATAGCTGGAAAAAATGTGGGAGCTGAAAGATGAAGCCCAGAGATTCCCCCACAATGTCAAATAAAAGATACAAAGATAGAAAATATGAAAAAAGTTATATGACATGGATGATAGATTCAGATGTTCCAAAATTCACCCACTAGGAGTTTGAGGAGAGAATAGAAATAATGTAAAAAATAAAATATAGGTCTACCAAATAAAGCTCACTGCTTGTGCACCGCACAGCCTCAGGAGCACCGTTTCAATTATAATCTTTGTGAACAGTGTCCCCCTGCAGATGTGCGGTGCACAGCCCAGCTGTCATACGTGGGGCTCCTGAGCGAATGAAAGGAGACTATTTCACAGAATATATATCTGCAGACAGCAAGGTCTCATTAAATGCGGCTCATATAGAGATGAATTAAAAGTACCTTTACCTAGAGACATGGTGATAAAATTCCAAAACACAAGAGTTAAGGAGAAAATTCTAAAAACACTCAGAAAATTCTTACAAAGATATAGGAGTCAAATTTATGTCAGACATTTGGACAACATTGGATAGAAGACAATGAATCCATATTCTTTTAAATCTAGGGAAAATAATTTTGAAGATAGCTCTGGGGCAAAGCTGTGTATTGTATGTTACCTGTCCCACGTGAATGTAAACTGTTCGCGATTCAGATAGAAATGAGTGTACCCACCAAATCATCAGTCACATACCACATACCTAAGGCCGTGTTAGCTTGCTCTAATAAAGCTCCCGTGTCTGGCATGGCAGCTTACAACTGTGGCCACTAATGAGCTGAGCTTGCAGTCACCTCCAGGGTCCACCTAAATTCAAGGGCCAGACTGTTTAATAAAATACAGGCATTACGGGGGCCACTTCCCTCCTTTAGACTTGCACTGTCTAGCATGGTAACCTCTAGTTACATGTGGTGATTTAAATTCAAATTAATTAAAGTTAAAAATTCAGCTCTTGTCACACTAGCTGTATTTAAAGTGCTCAGTAACCACATGTGGCTTGTGGCTGCTGTACTGACAGCACAGATACAGAACATTTCCATCATTGTGCAAACTTCGATTGGACAGTGTGGATCTTTAACGGATGTGATTACTCTCTGCCAACAACCCTAGTATACAGTATTGATTTAGATTTGCTATCTTGGTTGGGATTGATAGGAAGAGTCCCCGACAAAGATGCTTAGATAAGCAAAGTACCTCTTACTCCATGTTCCCAGTGCAGCAGGGAGAGGAGTGAAGCAGCCCAGGAAAGCAAGCACGTGCTCCCTGGCGGGGAGTGATCCTGTGGTGGATACGGGTACAAGTTCATCAGTCTGCCCTTCTTCTGCTTGTTACTCTACCTGTTAGGAGTCTTGAGTAAGGAGACATGCCGAATGCGGTAAATTTGCCTTTTAGATCAATTTTAGGAAGGGCACTAGTTTAAAAATGAGATATTTGTCTAAAAGTCATGACAGAAGATTAAACTGTCATTTTTATAGGTTTCTATGCATATCATAGTCCATTCACCAGTCCTTGAAAAGATGGAAAAAAAGACAATCTCAATGACATTTGACCTGACCCAGGCCACGCCCATTTCTACAGCTGCAGCACTCCCTGGATCTGATATTTAAGGCTCCTTATCTTAGTATCACACACTTCTGGAATGCACCCTCCCCCCAATCCAACCACTTCCTTGTTTGCAACACTGGAAAAGCAGTACTTCAAACTAGGCTGAAAAAGCTCTACTCTAATCTCATTGTTTTGGTCACAAATATAACATTCACTGGCTCAAGGGAAGCTGTCAAGTGCAGTACTTTATCTGCTCCTCTCAGGATTTTTGAATATCTAACAGTTATTGTAACTGGGCCAATAATTATTAAGAGCAATTAAAAGCATTCCAGGTTAAAGGAGCAAGAAAAAATTAGGAAAAACCGGAGGGAAAAAAATCCTCACACCAGTTTTCTAGCGTCCTATGCTCTGGGGAATCATCAACAAACTTTGAGAGCTATTTTGTATCAGGCACTGGGATAGCCTTTGTGAAAGATCTCAAGTAGTATAAAAAGCTGGACCCTACCCTCTAGAAGACAAACAAAAGAAAACGTAAAGCCAATGAAAATGAAATTTAGGAACAAGGCTACAGAATTCACAAAGCTACACTATTAACTGTAAATTCATTGTGCAGAGAATAGAGCCTTAAGAGTTAAAATGAAAAAGACTCCCCCATGAACAAAGATAGGATGGGAAGGCTTCACAGGGTGAGATCTGAGCAAGAGTTTAAAGAACTGGCAGGATGATAGGCTCTGAGGAGCCTAGAGAATGACAAACTGTACAGTGCAGAAGACTGACACAACCAAAGCACAAAGGAAGAGAAATCCTTTAAGATGCATTAAAGGCCGCTTTAGCTAGCTAGAGGTCTGGGGGAAATGAGTAATTGAAGAAGGTACATTTTGTCCAGTTGGTAGAAGGCTCTTAGTTTCAGGATAAGGAGTTGAGGCTTAATCCTTTAGTGAGTGGATAAATGGGACAACTGACAATGCTTTAATAAATCTGAAAGATGGTGAGAAACATGGTCCCTAGTCCTCAGGGAGAAGAGTCCCTGGCCTTTAGGATCCCAGCTAAGGGGAACAATAGACTGTCTGACAGTTTGACTGGCTACAGGACACACCACCCTGGCCTTCTCATTCTTAGGGTGATTTTTTTTTTTCCCTATCCTAAACTGTACTGTATAATGGTTTATCTTCTTTCACCTGGAAATTTTAGGTTCTCAGCTGAGTCATCTCTGGTAGCCTCCAGGGAAAGATGACTCACAGAGAATCTCAATTTCCCAGTGAAAAAAAGAAATCAGATACAGCCCACTTTATACAACTTTTAATTGGATGTTAATTTGAACTCCTACATTATAAATTATTAAAATTCATTTTAAGCACAAAATCATGTAAATTCCACCATATTTACAAAGAATGGCTTAATTTCCAAGTTTGACTGTCAAGTGAATTAGAAACTAAGATTTTCCTTTTGCCTCAAGAGTATATTTTATTTGGTAAAAATATCCAGCCTTTTGTGAACTTGATACTGCTCTAAAAAGTCTATTAAAAAAAAAAATCCAGCCTTTGTCAGGATTAGTCTTGAGGTATGCAAGCTTTTAACTAAGGCTTCAGAAATTTATACATGTTAACTGTGCTCTTTTGTACATATGACCCCCAAATCTATTTTTTAAAAATACACCTGAAAACACTAAAACCCACTTCCCCTAGATACGACCTTATCAGAAAGCTTTAGGAGAGGCAACTGAAGTATGTTTCGCAAGCACGGAGTGATTCTCACAACCAGGAAAGTTTGTTACAGAACCAAGACAAGGTCCTTGCCCTGGAGGAGGTAATTTTCCTGTGGAATTTAAATAATCACAGTAAATTATGAACTGCTCAGCTTCACCAAGGGCAACAACACTGGCTGGGTAGGGACTGAGGAAAGGTTTGACCTAAATAAAGATTAAATCCTGAAGGGCCAAAAAAACCCCAAAAACAAACAAAAAAACCCCCCCAAAAACCCTGAAGGTAAGGGAAGTCTTTGGGCCCTGGGTCTTTCAACCTTGGCGCCACAGCTGACGTTATGGACCAGATAATTCTTGGCTGTGAGGACTGTCCTATGCAGCCTCTGTGGCCTCTACCCACCAGGTACCCAGTAGTGCTCCTCCTCCCACATGACAATTAAAATTGTCTCCAGATATTGCCAAATGTCCCACAGAGTTGAGGGGTAAAATATAGTTGAGGATTGCTGGACTGGAAAGAAGTTAGGGGAGGCTAAGTTGAGACTTACAGACAAGCCAACATACATCACCTGGCTACACTGAGAAAAGTTTGTGACAGACACGTAGAGGTATATGTTAAGAATATATGTAGACTTTAATAAATGGCAGGGACTAGGGAACTAAGAGCTCTGTGCTGTAAATCCTGGTTTGTTTACTACCTTAATAGTAATAAAAACCTAAGACTCTGGAAACATTTAAGGACAAACAGATGAAATAGTAGGACAGGCTAGTCATCCTCCCCCACATCAAAAAACAAAAAACCAAACTTCTGCAAAAGGGGGTCACTTTCCCTGCTATCTGTACCTAGGCTCCCACTGAGGGCTCAGACTAGGTAGGAACCACATTGAGAACTAGTTACTCATTTATACCAGCAAGAGTCGCACTGCTAGGCGACACTACCAGACTGTAGGAAGATCCAAATTTTAACAGCCACCGCAATATTTATCACGGCCCCAAACGAAAACCAAATTCAAATCCACTTACAACCATAGGCCCACCCCACCTAATCAAAAGCTAAACCAACCTTCTACCAAGTGTTTACAGCCACTTTCTCTGATAACTTAAGTGGCTCTGAAAAGAGCCTTTGGGGTTAAGTAAATATTCTATTTCGTCCCTTGCGCGCTCTTACTTCGAACTGGTGTACTTAGTGACGGCCTTGGTGCCCTCGGACACGGCGTGCTTGGCCAGCTCGCCGGGCAGCAGCAGGCGCACGGCCGTCTGGATCTCCCGGGACGTGATGGTCGAGCGCTTGTTGTAGTGCGCCAGGCGGGACGCTTCGCCCGCGATGCGCTCGAAGATGTCGTTGACGAACGAGTTCATGATGCCCATGGCCTTGGACGAGATGCCGGTGTCCGGGTGCACCTGCTTCAACACCTTGTACACGTAAACGGAATAGCTCTCCTTGCGGCTGCGCTTGCGCTTCTTACCGTCCTTCTTCTGCACTTTCGTGACAGCTTTTTTGGAGCCTTTCTTGGGAGCAGGAGCAGATTTCGCTGGATCCGGCATTTTTGCACGAAGATAAGCAACACACTAGCAGAAGCAATCCCGACTGCGGCAAACGGCTTGGTTACGCGCTACTTATAGAGCCTGCATGCAAATGAAGACTAGCACAGTGCTGCGTTTTTATTGGTTAAAGTCCAATAGTGTCGTCATAGGGGTGGAGTCCATGCAAATAAGGTTCTGTTCGCGCTTCCTTAGTGGTCATTAGAACAAAAATCATGTTAACCAATCAAAACGTTCCATTTCACACTGACCAGTAAATTATGTAAAGTGTAGTTTCATGTTTGGGGTCTTTTGTTAACTTTCACTTTTGTTAACTTGCATACGATGTAAATCTGAAGCGCCAGCTAAAGATAAGTTAACGTTCTATTTTTGCATCATTTTACTCTATACTTTGTAAGTTTGCTTTGTTTTGGTTCTTGAAACAATACCTCAGCTTCCCCCCCCCCTTTTTTTTAACGGTTTGCGCAGCCTGTCTTATGCAGTAAGATGGGATCTTACATACTCGGGACTCAGCACAATGTCCCTTGCCCCCAAACCTTATCAGTTTTAATCCCCACCAAATATTTGGGGATCGAGGATTTCGCCAGCCTAGTTTTAATAACTGTATAATTGAGCTAAAAACCCATTTTCACACCCCCTTATCACTCTCATGACTATCATAAGTGTCATTTAATTCCTGTATTAAGACGTGCTAACGTTTACGTTATATAGCAGCTTGCTAAGCGTTACAAACGACTGGTAGAGCACGTTATCCTCACTAAACTCTCGTCACAGAAATAGCAAGGCGAGCTCTCTAGAGTTGTCACAAAGAGCGGCCTTGGCCGAAAAGGACCTAGATCCCTAGAGGTCCCTCTGGCATTAGACAATGTTAATTCCACATCCTCACCACCCAAACACCTGGAGTTCCGCCAACCCCCTTCAGCTGTGCACAACAGAAACCGACTGAACTGAAAGCTAGTACAGCTACTCTTTATGAAAGACGTGGGTGGCTCTGAAAAGAGCCTTTAGGTAGTCTATCTAGACATAAAGCCTTAGGCCCGCTCCCCGCGGATGCGGCGGGCCAGTTGGATATCTTTGGGCATGATGGTCACGCGCTTGGCGTGGATGGCGCATAGGTTCGTGTCTTCAAACAGCCCCACCAGGTAGGCCTCGCTCGCCTCCTGCAGCGCCATCACTGCCGAACTCTGGAAGCGCAGGTCTGTCTTGAAGTCCTGCGCGATCTCGCGCACCAGCCGCTGGAACGGCAGCTTGCGGATCAGCAGCTCGGTCGACTTCTGGTAGCGCCGGATCTCTCGCAGGGCCACGGTGCCCGGTCGGTAGCGGTGCGGCTTCTTCACGCCGCCCGTGGCCGGCGCGCTCTTGCGGGCCGCCTTAGTGGCCAGCTGCTTCCGCGGGGCCTTGCCACCGGTCGACTTGCGGGCGGTCTGCTTCGTGCGCGCCATGATTCACCGGCTTTGCTCACCAACCCCTAGTCAGCCTTATTTATAGACATAGCCTCGCCTTGATTGGGCCAGAAGAGCTAGGAGTTTCCAGAATTGTATCTCATTGGTTAGAATTCAATCCTATTTATTGGCGCAGAATTCAATCCTTTTTCTCTCTTCCCTTATTACTTCCCCTTCCTCGTGCTCTTCTATAATTTTATCGATCAAAGATGTTTTTCTTTTTTGGCCTTTTCCTTTAAAGCTTTAACTTTTGTAACAGCAATCTATGCAGTGTTTTTGCACGCTTGGGATGTATGTTTTAACAAGTTCTTTACAAATACAAACGTGCCCTAGGTTTCAGATTGCATTTCCGGTTACTAGTTACTGTAACTCCTCTCCCAAAGCTAACATTTTATTTAGCGCCTGACACTGTGCTAAGCGCGTTAGATGCGTTTCATAATGACTATGTTCAATAAAACAATATGCAGCTTAAGGAACCAAAAATTGAACTTAATGTTTACCTGATTCGGAACTCCGCCAAAGCTGTGTGCTGACCGATACCAACTTACATAGTAGAACCTTCTGCCTTTCTTTTGCCTTTTCCCCCTGGAATGCTGTTTTCTCCTCAATCCATCCATGGCTAATTAGGTCCTATGCACAAACGCTTCTAAGTCACGGAAGATAAGCTGGAAATACTCATTTCTCCTTTACAATGTTCAGTAGTTTTAAGTAGTCCAGTTGCTTATCAGTCAGATTGAAAGCTGAAATGTCAAAGCAAATAAAGTATTAGTTGATTACTGAGTTGCTAGCATATTTTCTTCAATAAATTGTTTTCTGATGCTTTAAAGATTTATATCTTTTCTATTCTCTAAAAGGAAATTGAAAATCCTTTGCTTTTTAGTTATTTCATATGCTTTGAAGAATTGCTCCGGAAATTGCATATAATAAAACAACAGTCATGTAAGGTTACCAATGCTTAAAATTATAATAGTTACTATTAAAACTTGTAATGCTTATTTGATTGGAAAAGCATTATTTCATTTAAACCTTACGAAAACTCAAAGCTGAGAACAAAAACAGGCCCAAGAGTCTCAAAACTTACCTTGATAGTGTCAGTAAGAATGATCATCTTCCTGAAGTCAAAATAAAATAAAAGTGATTCTGAGGGGATTTCCTGAACATTAAACACAAGGTAGAAACTTATATTATATATTCAAGTCTACTTGGGCAGCTGCAATCTCCTGCTTTAGGGAGAAGATCTAAAATGTCATGCAAATGTGTAACTATTGTGAACAACTGTCACCCTCTCCTGTGATGGTTTTGTAATAATGCCTTACATATAAAGAGCACTACTCAGTATTTAAAAATTCTCTACATACAGTTTCTCATTTAATCCCAACTCTGTGAAATAGATGATATTTTCCTCATTTTATAGATAAAGAAACTGAGTCTCAGAGAAACTATGACTCATCTGGACAAGTAACAGGGCCTGCATAATATTATAAAGCAAAAGAATGAAATTACAATGGATTTCTAGTTTCATCAGGCTTGGTATATTTTAAAGCACTAAAGAATTTTCCCATCATACAATCAAATTACTCAACTGAACTATTCCCATCAGAAGAGTAAACTGCTCCGGGCGGGCATCTGTATGACAGCCCAAAGCAGCTCACCCCAATGTCACATTTCTTTGAAATGTTCTTAAAAAAAATTTTTTTTTGAATCTATGCAGCTCTCGGCCATGATGTGTGGACGTGTTCATTTAAACAAGAAAGAGATTCTTAAACTGTCTACTTATATAGAATCCAAGAGTCATGGGATTTGTTTTACCTTTATATCATAGAGAATAAAAACATTCCAAGAGTCCTCCTCTGGCTTAATAAAGAAATATATAAGAATTTCTACTTCTCAGAAAAACAGTGATACCAATTTAAATATTAATTCCAAGGAAACCAATCAAATAAAATGATCAGAATGTACATTTTGAGGTGTTATAGGTAACATTTCTGTGACTATAACAATCTGTGATGAATGGTTGCCTTAGAAGTCACCTTTCAAAACAGAATTCAGATTCATATTAGTTCAATTTCACCTGGTCTCTGCACTGGACAATAGAGTGCTAGTCCTGTGAGGGTCTCAACAGACCACATTATCAGAAGCAATTTGAGAATGCAGAAGAGCCTCTGCTTTGCTGAAGCTATGGGGAAGAGGGATGGTTTTCTCCTTTAATATTTCTGAAGTTTCTTTCATCAGAAATATTAAGAATCTGCAGTTTTAAGACTGAGCACTGAAATTTCATTATTTAGCACTGGGGGGCAGGGTGGGGAACAGGCATGAGAAGCTTAAATTTTACCGTGGGAAATGAGCAAAATGTTAATAAGTGAATTATGAGGCATATAATGTTTTGTAGGTGCATGTGTTTGTTTTAATACAAAAGTAATGGACTAAATTAAAATACACATTCCAGGAAGACAATTTGTGTTTAGTTTTTGACTTCAAGTACACCCAGGGCTTCAAGTATCCCCATTGTGAGACTGAATCTTTGGTTTGTGGGCTAGTCGGGCCATGTGCCTGCTTGCCTTTCATTTTGAGTGGCCTGCAGCCCTGGACCAAATTGAAAAGCCATCGGATTTTGAGCTTTTTTTTCTTACTCCATTTTGAGCTATACTCATTCTCCTAACATCCTGCTCATTGGATAACCCCCCCCATCCCTGTCCTTAACACGACAGCCTCTACTGTACAGTGAGGGGTCATGCAGGGGAGGCAAAAATTATCCTTGACCCTCTTAGGGTCCCTGGCTGGATCTGAAAATTAAACTGACAAAGACAGATTAACAGGAGAAAAACACACAAATGAATTTGAGTTTTTCATGACACAGGAATATTCATAAGGAAACCAAGATCTGAAGAAACAGGCCTGAATGTTTTTATGCCAGGTTTGGTGAAAAGCGGGCAGTCGTGTAGAGATATGAGCAGTGGGATGATGAGTGTGGGTAAGTGTAGTAACCTGGGGGAAACAGCAAGGCCTGTCAGTTAGGTTCTTCCGTGTGTCCCTTTGTTTTTAGAGAAAACGCTGCTCCTGTCCTCGATGTAGGGAGGGCACCTCTCACAAGAGGGTTTTATGACCTGTTTTGGGTGAGAAAGTCGGTGACCCTCCTGCTTCTGTCATTCTCTCAAAATTTCTTCAGCTTAAAATATTCAACATGCTAAGCTGACACGTTTTGGAGTGGCATGTCCTGAACCCCCTCAGTGGCAGTATACGTCACCCCTAAAATATGCCACTTTGGTAGAAGGATTATTTTGAGCTAAAGACACTTGAAAAACAGCAGATGCAAGAAGGGCACTCTGACCTCCCCTTTTCTTCCTTAAAACAGGAGATAAAACCCCCACGTGGAAGAGGTCTTCCCGCTACCAGGAGCATAACCAGGATGGGGAATCGAAGCCAAGAGAAATCTGTACAAACAAACCTTATTAAACTAACCCATATCTTCCTATTTACTTCTCCACCTAGTTAACTCCCCTAGTTAACCGCCCAAGCCCTTTGGTCTTGTCATATCCCCAGAATTTATCGCACTTTGTTTTAAAAGACATAAATAAGCGTTGGGGCCTGTATAGGTCTTCAGCTTCCTTCTGAAGATTCTTGTGTACACAGAAAAGTATTTAAATTGGTATGCTTTTTCCCTTTTGACCAGACTTATGTCAGTTTAATTCTCAGGCCCAATCACATGATCTAAGAGGTAGAAGAAAAAATTTTCCCTCTGCTACAAGTTTACAACTTCTGACTTTGCAATGTAACAGATCCCCGTGGACTGCAGTCGGTTAAACTAATGTTACACAGTATTTCAAAGTTATACAAATGAGGATTTTTGTTGTTGTTGTTGTTCCATTAACCATCCTCATGAGATTTAAGCTACATTTTGCGGGAATTTTAAGGTCTATGTTTGTTTGTTTGTTTATAATAGAAATAAATTGGACTTTTTTTTTTTTTTTTTTTTTTTTTAATGTTCAGGCCACAGACGTTAGCATGACACTTACTGCTTTTGGTCTGTGGGGAAAATTAAGACAGAATGGTCACAACTCAAATGACATATAGCCTGCCTGCAAAAAAAAAAAAAAAGTATTTTTTAACATACCTTCTTCCTCAATATTTCTTTCATTTAATTTTTGTAATCACCAGCATGTATATATTATTTCATTTAATATTCACAGCTACATATGAATTGCTTTCTCAATCTGAACTTCCTTGCAACTGGGAAGGGGAGAGTTTATTTTGGAGAGAATTTTGTTTAGGTAATGTGTGATTAGGCTCCTGGGAGGAGGATGAAAAGTATTGAAAGGGAAGTTTGTAGATATTTGGATTCTGCCTAGGGTTCTGTTCCCTCTGACACCAAAAACCATCCCTTCTGTCAGCCTTGGCTTGTGGTTGTCTAATCATGTTGTGATTTGGTTGTGCCTTTCCTTTCTACTAGTGTTTAAAAGCAGTCAAATGCAGGAACTGTTCATTCTATAATTACTGAGCTTATGCTAGACATTGAACATGTCAATTTACAAAGAAAAATAAGCAAAAAATCACTGCCAGATAGTCGCGGTGGGGAGGGGTTATGTAAGATACAAAAGGCATTTAAAATAATATGATAGATTCTATAAGAGTTGCTAAAGGGTCAGAAAAGAGCAAATGTGTTTCTCTGCCCTGAAGCAACCAAAGTAGAGGAAGACATTACAGGAGAGGAAAAAAAAATTTCCCTCTACCCTTCTGAGTTCTTAGCTGAAATTCTTGTAGTAAAAGACAGAGTAACAAGAGAAAAGCAAACAGGTTTATTAACATGTATACCTTATGCATACATGGGAGATACTTAGCAAAAAATGAGTAACTCCTCAAAGTGGCTTAGAATTCAGACTTAAATACCATCTTAATTGGGAAAGGGGAGGGATCATGTAGGCCTCTTTGGGAGAGTAAATGATTTTTAGGAAAGATGAATGGGCCCTTAGAAAAGACGAAAGGTATGACAGTTTGTGACAAAGTTTGTCTGAGTGTGGTGTTGACTTCTAGCCTTCTCTCCTGTGACAAGAGTCAATCTTCCCTGGTTGATGAAACCACCTGGGAACGGGATTCCTGTCAATAGAGTTCCTTTCTGAGAATCTGTCTTTAGGCAGAGGAGTTCAAAGAAAGCCTGCCCCTGCACTTGCTGTTTTTCAAAGTACTACAGCTCAAAATAACCAATACACCAAGGCAGCATATGTTGAGGCGGCTTATGCTCCTACCCTCCAGCATCTATTGTGAATTCCAGGGCGTTGATTTAGGTATGTGATCATGATGACAGCATTCAGTGAGCAGAGAGAGAACCCCCGTGTTTATGGGGTGGGAGGGAGGAGAATGTATTTCCTCGGCCCCCAGGAGAGCCATACCTTGGAGATTTTAAGTTTAATCTTTGGAGATTCTGAATTTTGAGTTTAAAATGTCTAAAGAACACCCAGGAGGAGCTACATGTCTGGAGCCCAGAAGTCTGGATAAAGCTATAGATTTAGGATTATTACCATATAGAAAGTAGAGCTAAAGGAGAGATGAAAGAAGGCGCATAAGGTTTTTTAAAAATAATAAACATGTCTCAGAAAAAATATAATTTTTTTGATGCGGAAACCACATCTCCTGTACTCTTCTGCAGAAGACCCGGGTAATGAACATGCTATCAGTAAGGACTCCAACCAATTTCATAAGGCAGCTTCTGGTAATGACTCTCAGTATGGAGCAGATGTCCTCTTGTGAAACCCAACTCAGCAAACTTTGTTAGCTCCACGTGGGGCCTCGATGGGGACACTAATCTGGGCACTGAATCCTGGCTGAAAACAGGGTCTAATTTAGAGGATCTGTAGAAACGGCGAATACGCTTCAGTCTTCTTTCTGTACATATTTCTTCCTTCAGCAGAGCTCTACATGACCGTGCACTGGACCCACTGCCCTCCGTGGGAAGGCTTGGCAGTACAGTGAGAACAGTTCTCCTAGGATATGGTTTCTCCTGGGTGAGGAGCAATCAAAACAGAGACGAGACTCGGGAATCGTGGCGGTCTCCCCGCTTCCCTCTCCACACACATCCCAGCTGCCGCTGCTCTTGAACTCGCCTCCTGGGTCTGTCAGTCTAATTATGGGAACTCCATTGCTGCAGTTGTATGTAACCATCGCCCCGAAGCCTGGGATCCTTCTGTGGGGGTTACAGCCGGCGGCGCGCTCTCTGCTTCCCGTCTCTGGATTCTACTTGCTCTTCTGGTCTTCTCCACTAAGACCTTTCTTATTAGTCTAAATTTAATGTTTTCTCCATCCACAGATGGAGAGAGACAGAGGCAGAAACAGCGGCAGAATCCGGAAATATGGATCCGAATTCTCCCCGGGACTCTGGCAAATAGTTTTTTTTTTTTTAAGGTAAGAGTACGAGGGGGAAGGGGCAAGAAAGGGGTAGGGGATCAAGAGGTACAAACTACTATGTATAAAATAAATAAGCTACAAGGATGATTGTACAGCACAGAGAACATAGCCAATATTTTATATCTTTAAATGGATTCTAGTCTATAAAAAATATTGAATCACTGTTGTACACCTGAAACATATAAAATTGCAGATCAACTATACTTCAAAAAATAAATAAGTAAATAAAATACAAATAAAAGGTGAGAGTCCGTTAGAGGGAGCTGCGGAGGTGGAAAAGGGTTGGGGAAGCAGCAGAAAAGAAATGACGAAATGCCTATCGGGCGGGGACGATTTAGAAGCTTCCCGCCCGCGCGCTTTCGGTTTTCAATCTGGTCCGATACTCTTGTATATCAGAGGAAAAGCCGCCTTCACAGTCCCCAGACTTGTCTCCAGATCAGAGCCAGCCATGTCTGGGAGGGGAAAGGGCGGGAAAGGCTTAGGCAAGGGTGGCGCCAAGCGCCACCGCAAAGTCTTGCGAGACAATATCCAGGGCATCACCAAGCCCGCCATCCGGCGGCTTGCTCGGCGTGGCGGGGTCAAGCGGATCTCCGGCCTTATCTACGAGGAGACCCGGGGTGTGCTGAAGGTGTTCCTGGAGAACGTCATTCGGGACGCCGTCACCTACACTGAGCATGCCAAGCGCAAGACGGTCACTGCCATGGACGTGGTGTACGCCCTCAAGCGGCAGGGACGCACCCTGTATGGCTTCGGAGGCTAAGCTGCCCCTTCTGAGCTACATGTGACAATCTCAAAGGCCCTTCTTAGGGCCAACCACACAGTCACCAGAGGAGCTGGACACCTGCTGAAAGTAGAGGTAAATTTACGTTTGGCAGTTGTCTGGAGTGGGGGTCAGAAGCTTGGGAGGCAGTGATTCCCCAAACCCCCTGAGAGCCTTGAAGACCCATGCCAGTTACTAAAAGCTGCCTTTTCACCAGCCTGCCTTCACTGTTACCAACCTGAAAGGCTATTGTACTCCAGATTTAAACCACTTTTTGGTTTGCTTTTGAGCGTGCTGTCATTTGTGGTCCTTGGACCAGGCTGTGGTAGAAGTACTCTGGGCTTCACTTCCCGCGCCTGCAAGGAGGGAGTTAGCTGGGCAGCTTGATGGCTGAGTTCACATTGGATGTTCTGATGTTAAGAGCCCCACTTGAAAAGGTGCAAGAGCACTAGTGAAACCAAATCCAGTCACCAACTATTCAAAACTGAGATAAATTAGGTCAGAGGAGAGCTCATTGATGCTGATGTAAAATATATCTGATGAATTATTTGGCCAATGTATGAAAAGTACTCTTGGTTCTGTTTTTCATGCTAAGTTAAAAGGACCTTCACAATTACCTGCTGAGAGTATTGTGTGTGTGTATGTGTGTGTGTGTGTGTACCAGCTTCAAGGGAGAATTTAGTCAAGGACCTATGAGACATGAGATCCGTCTTTCAGTGACAACATTGCAAAGATAACCGATGCAGAAGAAACAAGTATGAAATTTCTATAAAAGCTGAGCAAACTAGAATCTTAATGTCATGAAAGCAAGCAAGTCTTCAAGAAACAAAGCTCAGGCATGTCACTGTTCTGTTAGTTCCTGCTGTAATTAAGAATAAGAGACTGGCAGAAACATACCCACCATCAGTACAGAAAGTACAGTTTAGTTTTTGACAAGGCAAAAGCAAATCATCCTATAACAGCATGGTAAAAAAAAATTTATAGTAAGCCATTCTCTATACTACCATTTCTAAATTGCCCGGATGATGATTGAAATGTAGGTCCATACCTCTCATCTATGAACCAATTATAGTTTTGCAGGCTTAGGATTTTACAGCTAAATCTGGCTGTGTATGCAGCCAAGAAGAAATTCTAGAGAAGAAATTCAGCTCCCAAGAGATAAGTCAGCTGCTGCTTTATTGGTCTCCACACTTGGTGGCTCTCATTTGTATCAAATACTTGAGGGTGAACTAGGTTTAAAACATGGTGCTTAGCAATGGAGACCCTAGAAAGTCAAAGGTTGTGAGACTTGCCCTCTAGGAGCTTACTATCAGAATGGGGAGAAAAATAATGTCTAAAATACATGTGTGCATACGTACATACTTATATGCACAGCTAAGTAGTACATGGTGGCATATATTCAGTATGAGAAATGCAGATGAGAATTACTATGAATCCTAACACCACGGAAGTCACTGGCTGCTGGGAAGTGGGCAAGCTTGGCAGTGGAGAGGCTTGTGTCAGGCTGTGAAGGAGCAGAACACCTGGCATCCTAGTAAGACATACAGTAAAGGGGAGGGGGAGGATCCAGAAGGGAGTGGCAAGAATACATTTGTGAAGATGTGCAAGGTGAGAAATAAGAGGATGTTCAAGGTGTTTCATCTTCCCTTTAAATTAAAATATCACCTGCAACTGATGGCATTTAGATTTCAAATATCTTTTTTTTTAAATTAAAGGCAACGCAGATTGTATATATTTGATCCTTAATGAGACACTCTGGAGAAGGAGATATCAAAAGTTGGAAGAGAAACCAAAGAATAATGGAAGGGAGGAGGGAACATGTCCATTGTTTAAATTAGTGGTTCTCAAAGTGTGGTCTCTAATCCAGGAGCATCAGATCACCTAGGAACTTGTTAGAAAAGCAAAATCTTGAACCTACCCCAGACCTATTGCATGAGAAGCTCATGGGGGTGAGACCTAGAAATCTGTGTTTTAACAACCTCCGCTTGGTTCTGATACACATTAAAGTTTGAGAATGGTCTCAGTAACAGTGTTTTTTTAATCAAACAAAATTATTTGGAATCTGAATACAAATGCCCTAGCTTATTTACCGTAATGTTAAATTTTGCTTTCTTTATGGAAAAAAAATTAGGTGAATGATTCTAATAAATTTTTTGTAGGATAAAATATTACAGGAGGAAAAAGATAAAATAGCTTATTTCCTCAAAGCATCTAGGGCAAAAAAAAAAGGATGTATGAATAAAAAATATAGTCAGTTTGTTTAACTAAATATTATTGTTTTGTATTTTTAACAATATTGAATTTCATAGTCAATGGATATGTTTCTTTTCTCTTCCTGAATTTCTCCAAGATCTTGTCCTTTAACTATTAATTATTCATCTTCTTTATAGTGACTTATCAGTGATCCTTATTCCCACCTTGTCTATTCCACAAAATACTTTTATCATAGGGCATGACTGAATCCTCTGATAGCCATATCCAGCCTCTGAATATTGCCAAATTATACAATATGCATTGTGCATTTTTGTGTTAATAAATGGCTTTTTTGTTGTTGTTGTTCTTAACTGTCTGTAACAGTGAGGAATATAATGCTATTTCATCTCTGATTTGCTAACAAAATACTTTCCTTCCCATTTCTACCCATAAGTCACTCAAGTGCTCTCTGTAAGCCAGCCCTGGCTGCCAACACTTTCCCTCCATGGGTGAATCCAGGACTTCCACTAGAATACACGTGTACAAATTGTTCCCATCCAATCTGCACATCTACTTCCATTACTCTGGTCATAGAGGCACTTAAGTGTCCCACTGGCTAATCAGGCTTCACGGTGGACCAGTCTGAAGCCTTATCTTTCCTCTCCAGGCTCCCTACTTTTCTTAATAACAGCATTATCCTCTTGAAGGCTAGATGCTCCTGTCATCTTTCAGGACATTCTTATTTTCTTCCTTTGAAATCTTTTACTCTGAACTTCATATTGTAGCTATTGATATACATATTATTTCTCTACTTGAGCTAAAAGAATTGAATTGTCATTAAAGCAGAATACTACCAGTATATACAAATATATATGGATGTATAGAGAATTATCGACAAGAATGTTCACAAAAATCTAAGAGTGATTTATAGGTGTTCATTTTTGTTACATTTATAGAGTATTTTTGAACTGTTCAGAAGTTTAAAAATAAGCATGTACAATTTCCCCCAAAAAGGTGATAGATAGATAGGTAGATAGATAGACAGACAGACAGACATGGGGAGATAATCTGGGCTATATGAACCATGGAAAATCTTAACTTTGTCAAAGTTCAATTTTCTCATCTTTAGTGTGGCTGAGAATTCCTGCCTTTCTCACAGGAGTACTTCAAGGATCAAAGAAGAAGACTCTGTGTAAGGCTAAAGTAAAATCTATCTATGTGAAAGCCTTACAGTGACAAAGAAACCAAAGTTGATGTATTTATTGCCTATTTCACCCAATCTAGCTCTTCCATGCTCCATAGTCCCTGGGGAAGAGAGGGAGTCAGTATAGCCAATATTTAGAGAACAAAGGAGACAGTGGGTAAAGGTGACTATGAACAGATTGGCAGGGCCAGATTTTTTCAGAATTAGACCAGAAAAATGTAAAATCTTCTTCAAGAACCAAAGAGACTCCCCAGCTGACTTGACTGTTATAATGTGTTAAATGTATTATTTAAGAATATTCAATTATTCTATAGAAAATAGGAGGAATAGACAAATAAAGAGAAGAAGTTCCTTGTAGATAATAAGTAAGCACAGCCTATGAGAGAGGGTAGACTTAAATAAACAGAGCATCTTCCAACATAGATATAGGAAGGGGTGGAAGGACCAAGTAAGCACCACGTCAAATACACGTGAGGTACATGAGGTACCCAGTGTTTACGTCTCCTATCAGTCATCCATTGGTGATAACCACTGTTGCCTATATTGTCCTCTGCATGCTAAACACAGAGAAATCCATAGCTATTCAGCAGGTTATTGGTGAATTACAACTATGGCCAGGCATACTTGCCCCTGTGTCTCACTGATCAAGCAAGTGTAAACTGGCTTCAGGTACCTTCTATCTGCTGAGCCCCCTTGCCCACTCCCATTTCTAGTCCTTTTAAGTGCAGCATCACTGGGGAAGGCTGATGCCCTAGAGCAAGACATGACAGATCACCGTGTAACCCAGGAGTGGATTCTGTGTTGTACTTCCCCCATCACTGCACTCTGTTCTAAGTATGTTAACTTCACTCACCACTTTCGCCTTGATCCTTGTTTTATGTTTTAAATGGACTCAGTTAACTGTGTGATTTGAACATCTTCATTTGGCCTATGAGCCTTTCTGTTCAGTGAACTCTGGGATTTCTTATCTGGTAATAGAAGACTATGATTACAACAAAGTACTTTCTTATCACAACAACCTTATTATAGAAGAGGGCTGGAAATAAGGTGAGAGGGGTTGGAGGAGGAGAGAACATGGGGTTGTGACCATCCAGGTACCAGATGGTACCCTAAGCATATCTAGTTCTTGCAATGAGGCAACCTTTAGAGTGAAATGGTATCCTGGCTGAATAATGGCAGCCACTGAGGTCATCTTCCTCCATGCTTTTCCCAGCTTCCTGACAGCAGTTTGGCTTCCCAAATAGATTTGCCTGCAGGGAGTTAATGGGCTGATGAGTTACATTTCTCGTTGGAAATTAAGAGCATGAGTTCTGGAACCAGACTATTCAGGTTAGGATCTTAACATCCCATTTACTAACAGTGAAACCTGGGGGAAATTCCTTAATCTCTGAGCCTCATTTTCTTTATTAGTAGCATTACGATGAAAAGAATACCTATTGTATCAAGCTTTTATGCGAGTAACATGTATTAATATTTATAAAGCAATTAGCACTGTGGAATTCAATAAATGCTAATTCCTATGAATGATAGCAATTATTATTGGGGGTTATGAATCTGTCCCTTGAGAGTCTGATCAGTGGTATCTAGTCCCTCAGAGCTCACCACCCCTGGCTTATCAACAAAATGAAATCTCTGAGCCTACAGAGCCAAGGACCAGAGGCTGGAAGGGAGAGAGCATGGGTACAATGTCCTGTGTGAGTGGCCAGCAATTCATTTCCTTCTCTGCTGCCTCACGATGCAATAAGACTGAATGCAACAACTTCCCAACCATTAAACACAAAATCCAGGTAGCAAAGGAAGAGAAAAGGGGGGAAAGATCAACCAAAGAAACACAAACCCCAAATCAAAACCTGGCTGAGGAAAATTCAGTCAGGAGCTCAAAGTTTAGCTCTGAGCAGGGACTCCTAAGGGCTGAAGAGGGCCCACCGCCTTAAGAAAGTTTGCAAGATCAGAAAATACTTCACATTTTGCTCACCTGGTCTAGGAGGGAGCATGAGATTCAGAACTAAATAACCAACCAACCAAATTTAAAAGTTTCCCAATGTCCAGAGCCAGTTGTACCAAAACTCTGGGAGGCCAATTTAGTAATACCTATCAAAATAACCGTGCAGATATACGGAAAATGAGCCCCAAGTTATACGTACAGGGATAATAACTCATGACGGTGTTTTCAGTAGCAAAAATCTGGAAAACAAATATCAATATGACTTTATGTAAATAAAGACACATCCATTAAATGAAAACTGTATTCCTTAAAAAGAACAAAGAAGATTGATACAGAGGCATTTTTATATCTATAAAGGTTGATATAGAGTGACTTCATATAAAAATATAAATATACATGTATATAAAGATCCCCCCTTTGCTTTTTTACTTTTATATAAAATATATGTATACATTTTTTACTTATATGTTTCACTTATATATAAAATATGTATATTAAGTGGATTAAAAACAAAAGGCAGGACAGTGTGTCTTCCATGTAAATTGTCATATAAGAACATTGGTAAATAAATAGAACATTTTTCTGGAAGTACACATAAGAAACTTGTA